TTCTATACGCATATATATCTATATATATATTTTATATACTTATTATATGCCGTGGTGTATACATTTAACGTAACACCCCAGCCCCGAGAAAACAGAGAAAAAAAAAGCCCATGTTCAAAACGGCGTCGTTTTGGCTATTCTCACTGCTGATGCCCAGCTACAAACACGACGCCGTTTTGAAGCATGGGCTTATTTTTCTCTGTGCCGGGGTGTTACATTCGGTGGGTAAATATAATTGTATTTATATTATAATAATTATTTGTGTTCAAACTAATAGGCCCATAAAAAATGGACTCGGTTCATAGTTAAAAAAAAAAATTAACCCATGAAAATAAATAAATAATACAACAAATTTACATTATAGATTTAATTTTTTCTTAAGATAAGATTTAAGTTTACGATATAAAATTTAGAATATTATAATGAATTTTTTTTCGTGTCCAAATCTTCTTAATGATACGTTTCGTTAATTAAAATAATCACGATGAATTAAAAATTTAACTTAAATCTTTTTAATTTTTTTTATTAAAAAAACACGTTATTATAGCATAAAGCAAACCATCTAAGATACATTATACTAATGATGATAACCTATTAAATTAATAAAAACTTTATGGTTAAATATATTTAAATAATAATAATAATTTGGATTACCTCATAATTAATCCTTGTCTTACATTTATCTCCATTAAAAAAAAATATATATATATATATATAATATATTTTTCTTCAAAAATATTGAAACTATATCTAAATTACTTTTAATTAATTTAAAAATATTTAAAAAAAAAATTAAGGGTGATTAGTATCATCACCCACGTTTCCGGTCTCATAATCAAGCGGCCATTGAAGCTCGTATGGGCTCAAAGAAAGTGTCTTTACGATCCCTTTCAAGCTGTTTTCTCTGTTTATCTGCGGCTTTGGCAGGCTCATTCCTTTGCTCAGTCCTCTGTTCTTCAGGTGTGCCTCATCACCATCATCTCCCGATGCACCCATCTCCATCGTGCCTTTCATTAGGCGGACTGATCCTTCCTCTTCCATCTCCACCGTCGATTCTGTTGACGTTGACTTGTTCTCGTACGCCGCGTATAGAATCAACTGCACTGACCCCAACAAGAAGCCTATTGAATTTGGTACCTGTAATTTTACAATTTTATTAATTAGGCTTTTTTTTTTAATTTTTATAAGTACAAATAATAAAAATCTATGATTAAATTGAATATAAACAGAGAACTTACTCCGATATAAATATCTTTTACAAGTATAGCATAGACTGACCAGACAACAGCGTTGAAAAATAAAAAAAACGAGAGTAGAAACGGCATGTACTTTACACTCTTCGTCTTTACTACTGCTCTCTGTTTCAAATTACTACGATCAATTAGAAAAAAAACGCTCAATGATTATAGTAAATAAGCTAGTTTTAAATATTTTGTCACGTACCATGACGGATAAAGGAGAAGCATACATGCCAATGGTGAATACGGCACATAAAATTCCGGCGAACGTTAGCCGGAGATTTTCATGCATGGCTAAGAGAGTAACTAGGATTACCGATCCAAGAAAACCGACATTTAGTACCACGATCGATCTCGCTGTCTTAACCTAATCGCACACATGCACAAGTTTAATTGTAATAAGTTCGAGTTTACGAAATTAATCATAATTACTATTGTTTTAACAGTAAAATATGATGATTAGTGTTGTTTAATAGTGATTTAATTACGTAAATTTAAATACGGTGATGTTAATTTAATTTTAGTAGTATTTTAATTTGAAGTGACCTTAATGTTTTTAGGAGCATAAGCAAGGAAGAGGGCGACGTAGACCAACTGGAAGACGACGCCGGCGCCGTTGACGGTGACGACAAGCAAGCCTCCCGGTTTGAGAAGTCCATAGAAACTCCACAAGCTTGTACTCAGCAGTGTCGTTATGTATGGATCTCCTTTGTAATTCTCTGTTGATTTCTTCTTCACCACCAACCAGAATGTTTTTCTGTAAAATTATTAACAAATATACATACACACACACACACGCATATATATATATATATACAAAATCCATATTACAAAGTTATAAAAACTTTACATTATTCAAATCTATTAAATAAATAAAGGAGTTATATTAAATTATTGATATTGTTACTTACATGGGAGAAGCAAAAACCAGAATAGAAATCACGTTGCCTGGCAAAAAAAAAGAAAGGATTAATCAGCACAAATCTACATACGTATACATACATGTTATATATATATATATATCTAACAATATAATCAACGAACACATAGTTAACTACAAACCCAGAATCCAAAATTTGAAAAATAGAAAGACCCACTAATTTTTTCTTGTTTTATATACACAAATATATCTATATATACAGAGAGAGAGCGAGAGACCTATAATGCCAACGATGAAGCTCGAGGACGCCATTGATGGAGGAGTTGGTGGAGATCAGATGATGGGACGGAGGGCTGCATGTGGTGTGAAGAAGAAGAAGAAGCAGAAGAAGAAGAAGAAGGAAACTTGTGTGGTGGATATGATGATGAGTATATATATATATATATATATATGTAAGAGCAGCAGTTGATATTATTTTCTTCTGTTGGTTTATTCATGGTTCTCTGTTTACATCAACCGACGGATGCTTGCCACGTGTCGATTCCACGCGTATAAGTTGTACTGTACCTATCTCGACAATTGGCGGTGGCTGTGGACCAGCTTCTTTTTTAGCCCATTATATAATTAGGTTTCGTCCTTTCTTTTTTCTTTTTTCTTTTTTGTTTTTTTTAAATAAATAAACAACTCTTTATTGATCCTAGAATGATTAATATATATATAGATATAATTTTATTAAATATTACACTATAATTAACGTGTATATATTAGTTAACTTATAAAATATTTTAAAAAAATTAATTAACGAGTTTAATTAGTTTTTTTTTTTGTTTCTTATTTTAATTTTTAAAAAATTTAAACTTTTAACGAATAATTTATTTTTATTAATGGTATGGAGTCAAATATATATTTAAATATTTTTTCAACTTTTTTAAATATCTTAAATTCGAGCTTTGATATATTATTTACATTCAATTAATTATTTTTTTATTAATTTATTATATATGAAAAATAATATACTTCCACAAAAGTATTATATTTGCATTAATAAATAAAGTAACTAAATTACATTAACAAAATGAATTAAGCCAAACCCACCATTGTTAAAAAAAAAAAGAGCAATATAAAATCTTTAAAACACTTAAATAAAATTAAATTTATTAATTATATTATATGATTAGTTAGTTATAAAAACATTATAATTATTATTTAATTATGGGTGCACATGTTCTATAGTTTTTAAGCTTATGTTAAAAGCATATTTTTCATTAATGTAAGCTAGTTTCCTCTTTTGGGCGGACATGACACGAAGCATAAATTTCGTACACCGTCCGCGGCCTACCATTTTAGTGGAGTAATTATTCTTGTGTCTAAATTAGGATTAATACATGGTGCGTTCGAAAATGATGAATTGTTTCGGAAAAAAAAAAAAATCTATTGATTCTCTCCTAATTGGTTAGATCGTAGGTGCGATGATTTACTATACGAGCGAGGTATCTGATTCAAATCCGTGATGACCTAGCTGCTTCAAGGAAAAGAATAGAAGAAGCATCTAACTCCTTCGTGCATGTTCCACTTGATTCGGGAGGATATAGCTCGGTTGTTAGAGTTTTGCTCTTACAATTGGATAGTCGTGATTAAGAATTGGATGTCTGATTATTTAGCTGATAATAATAGTATATTGTATCTGAATCAGTGACTCACTTTTTTTTAAAGTAACGAAAAAAATGATCAAAATAAATCATCGAAAGACTCTACTGAAATAAAGATGAACGGTCGAGAAGGCAGAGGAGGTACTTTTATATTTTAAAAAATGTATGTGTATATATTTATGTGTCTAATAAATATGTTCGGCAATTCGGTGAGCCCATGGAGTGTGGGTCGAAAGTATTTGTTTTACAAAATAAAATGAAGCCGTACGTGATGGGCTTAGTGGAATATCAACGCTTATAAAACGACGACGTTTTACAATGTTTCAACGACGTCGTTTAGGATAAACAGAATCGCGGATCCCGGTGGCGCGTGGGTAAGTTAGCGGTCTCGAGATGTAGTTTTCTGTTCCTCTCTTGCTCGACCCGAACCCGTTTGCTCTTCCCCAAACAACGAAGAGGTTTTAGTTTGATTTCATATTCAGAAAAACCCTCGATATTTCCCCTCCATTACAAGATCCTTCCTTCTCCCAGCTCTCTCTCTCTCCGTCACCGACATGTTCAAAAAGTAAGCTCTCTCTCTCTATACGATATTTGTTTATATTCCGAAACACCTTTACTTTCTTTTTGTTACTT